TGCTGCAGGTTTATTGGTTTGTGGGTTTTCTTGTTTGTGTCTTTTTAAACTGACTTACCTAAGTGGCTTTTGAAGCAGTAATGAATTCAAGATGATCCCTTCACTTATTAAATACAGCATCGAAATCACCGCCCAGTGTTTCCATCGATTTAACGACACCCAGACGAGTTTATTAAAGGGCACCTGGGCATTCCCCGGGAAGGTAAAAAATCACAGTGCACAGGCTATAACCCCAGGATGGGACTGACTCTCCCTTTCTACAGGTCACGCAGCCCGGCACGGTGGTGCAGACCGGGGCAGAGGCAGGGGGACAGGCAGAGGAACAAGCAGACCTGTCTTTGTCACCTGCCAAAGCACAGAGAAGCTGCCCCGGGCACAGGAGGGGACTTTAGAGAGGCAAGGGGAAGGAAAGGTGTAGTAAAGCTGCGCGGAAGGAAGAACAATAAATAGAAGGAAGTGAAGGAAGGAAAGAAAACACTGGCAGGGAGGGGAGGGGTAAAAAAAAAAAAAAAAGGAGATTCCCCACAGATAAGGCAGTGGAAAAAAGGCAATAACAGAGCGCCGACAGACTCTTTTACTGGCTAGCACGGGTTCTTGGCAAGCTCACGAGCGGGACCATGCAAAGGCACAGCTACTCGTTTGCTTCTCCCACCAGGGCTGGCAGAGGAGGGAGTATTTTTTCAGTCTTGGCAGAGTTTAACCATCCTCTTTGTAGGATGACTACTGGAGTCGGCAACTTTTTCAGATGTGAAAAAAAGATCCCTGGGAGTCCTCTCCTGGGCTCCTTTGCCCATATAATCTCTCCCGCCCTGAGCATCACGGAAATAAACTCTCTATCCCTAATGGTACAGTTAACGGTAGTAGAGCTCGTTTCTAAAACAAACCCTCTGAAAGGCCCCAGAAGGATCTGGGGACATTCAAGAGCTGCAATATCCTACAGGAGACACACATCTCAACTCTCTCTTGTGTACTGTTGAAGTCTTCCTACTATTTTTACCGCTACTCGAGTTAGGAAAACATTTCACTGAGGGTTTATCATTCCACCACCAAAATTATAAACTATTTAGACCAGTCAGGGTTTGCTCTCAGCCTTTCAGGCACCACCAGAATTTTCCTCCCTGCGGTAAGGGGTCTCATAAACTCGCCAAGAAGTACCGTATCTTGGCGTTTTATTTTTCCTTCCATCTACTCTATTACACAACACTGCCCCGCAGAAGAGGCAAGGCACAAGTCGGAGGAGGACAGCTACGTCGGTTGCCTCTTCTTTAACGCAATTAGCTGCTGGAGGGTATCGCTCTGCCAAGAGCAGCTGAAAGGACACAGGAAGAGAGCCGTCTTGGCATGGTCCTCCCAGGGAAAAAATAAAAAAGGCTGAGCTCATCAGCTGCCAGCGAGAAGGATAAAGCAAAACCGGCTGCGGAGAGCGAACCGAGCGAGCGAACTCTGAAGCAAGGGAGAGGCTTCGCTAACAGGCAGGAGATGTCTGTATTTTTGGCATGGAGTTTTGTTTTTAAAGTGATGTCAGCTCAGCTAGGGCACGCTGCGGAGGTAAGAGAAGAGCAAGGAGATAAGGCCAAATACACCGGCAACCATCCTTGCTAATGTCAGGCACTGGTCTTCCAACGCCTCTTGTCGAGCGCTCACCTCTTAAGCACGGTCTATTATTATTTATAGGTAAGACGATTAAGAGCCCTTAGTGACCGCAGCACCTCTGAGACAGGTCTTAAAGATCTCACCCCGTTCTACAATAATCTTTGATTAGCCACTAATTCAGCAGCAGAGTGCTTGTGTATTCAGGGTCTGCAGGCGCTGCCTTTGGAGAGCCACCATCAGCATTGAGTTTAAAGGGAAAAACAGAGAAGACCACCGTGTTTAGCCCGGTCAGATGTGCCGTGAAGAGGACAGAGGGACATGGTGGGCTGCAGGCAACAGTAGGGCTGCAGGCAGAGCCCCACCACTGAGCTGAGGGTGAAGGGAAGGACCTCCAAACACCATCCCCTCCTTGCCGTGCCACTACAGCCTGGCAATTCCTTTCGTTTGGGCTTCACCAAGATTTCAGTCTTAGGAACCAGAGGTTGAAAGCCTACCTTACCCACTGAACTCACAACAGACTGGCTGTGGAGCTACACAGAAGGCAACACCAAAGGAAGAGGCTCAGGTCTTTGCTTCACTTTCAAAACCTGAACACACGCACACAAACCCACCACATTGATGGGAGCACCTGCAGCACTTCAGACCAGACTGAAAGGAGAGATGCACAGACTCTGCAGAACTTTCCTACGTCCTTCATGTTCATATGGGCATTTTGTTCATATCCTCACTTGTCACAACTTTTCAGAGAGCATCCTCCAAAAAAGCTGACCACAGAGGCAGCGAGTAGCAAGCAACACAGACCAAAGCTCCAGGCAGCTGGGATCCAAGTGACGCCCCAGGCTGCCACATGAACAAACGCAGCGTATGCAGTTGTTACATCACTCCTCTACGCAGATTTACATTAACTGGCTCAACAGAACTAAACATCATCATCACAGAATCACAGAATGGTTAGGGCTGGAAAGGACCTTAAAGCTCACCTCGTTCCAACCCCCTGCGCTGGGCAGGGACACCTCCCACCAGACCAGGTTGCTCACAGCCCCATCCAACCTGGTCTTGAACACTTCCAGGGATGGGGCAGCCACAGCTTCTCTGGGCAACCTCTGCCACTGCCTCACCACCCTCACCGGGAAGAATTTCTTCCTGATATCTCACCTAAACCTTCCCTCTTCCAGTTTAAAGCCATTGCCCCTTGTCCTGTCACTCCCTGCCCTTGTCAAAAGTCCCTCCCCAGCTCTCCTGTAGCCCCCCTTTAGGTACTGTCTGGAGACTTCAGAGCTTCCAGCACGACCAAAAATACTTTTGGCGAGTGGGCTTGTGAGATGGCAGAGGGGGCAATAAGGCAGTGTAGTTAAAAAAGCAGGGGAGGGGGAGAAGTCTTCAATGGTGGGTTTGTTTGGTTTTAAGGTTTTAGTACCTTTCCAACAGGTGAACGTGTTCAGGAATTTGAATTTAAAAAGCAACACAGTTGAGGAAGGTTGACACTTCTTTTCTTGGAAAAGTTAAAAGAGAAAAACTTACTGAGGCTTCAAGAGAGAAATGGGATTTGCCTTCTGAATGTCATGATGTAGAGAGACAGAGAAGCCCACAGTTCCTTACCGAAGGTTCTGCTCCGGGTCCTGCCCCGGGGGGGGCAGCCCGCCCACCCTCCCCCTGTGTATCAGGTGCGTGCGGGATTCACGCTGTCTGCTGGGCAGCTTTTCAAACAAAACAATAAGTCCGCCATCAGAAAAGAAAGGGAACCGCAAGCTGAGTTCTGACATTATCGTCTACGATCAGATCGTTATGATGTTCATTTCCTTTGAGTAAAAAAAAAAAAAAAAAGTTGTTTTCCCCCAAACAACTTTTCAGGGTACACAAGCCAAGTTTCCTTCTTGAAAACCAGCTCCATCTGTGAATCGAAATCAAAGGTGGACTCTGAACTGGCGGGTGATTAACACTGGTCAGAAACTTCCTCCAGTTTATTTTCTGTACAGGTTATTCCAGCAAGGGAGACCCAAAAAATTTAGGATTCTTTTTATGGCAACTGCAGTTGCACAGGTCAAGTATTAAAGCTGGAGACAGCAGAAAACGCGGGGCGGTTGGTCAGCCTACAGAGCTCTGATTTCTTACAAAGAAGTAGGAGACAATCCAGCCACAGTCTGAATGTTTCTTCAGAGATGTCTCCTTTGGGCCGTGATGGGCCGGTAACGACTGACCATCAGCAACTTCTAATGGACCATCCACACCACCCATCTTGGGACTTTTGTTCTCCTGACTCCTCCCTTCCCAGGTTAATAAATAAAAGAGCTTAAAAACAAAAGAGGCAGACTCTTAGTTATGCTAATTTTACCTCCTTGGCTATTCGGATGGTGATAATGGATGTGATAAACCATTCCAGATAACAAGCTGCAGGAGCTTCACGGAATACAAAGCGACCTGTTCCCAAAATGCATAGACTGGGCAATGTTCTGCATAGGCTGAGGAAAACTTACCCCAAGGACAGCCCCGCAGAGATGGTCTAAAAGGTACTTTAGGAGATGCACAAGAAGCTTAAAAAAACATGGGGAGCAGCATTTCTATATCCACAAAGAAAAAAACCAACCAAACAAAAAACCCACTATCTGTTCTTGGAGCACAGGAACTAAGCAACCCTACTAATCTGTGAAGGAAACGAAAAAAGCCTAATTCGAAATTAAAAAAAAAAAAACTCCAAGATATCAAATACGCAGATAAGAGTTTAACAGTTCAGCAAAACATTTTTATATAGCATATATAGGACTCGCACACCTAACCGCTGCAAAGGCCTGAAGCACTCTTAAAAGTAACACCGCTAACAAGGCAAAGCCCGCTCTTTGGGCACAGCTCAAAGGACCTGGAGCGCGGATGAGCAGGGCTGCAGCCCCAGCATCACTCCCGCCTGCCCCGCAGCCCCAGCATCACTCCCACCTGCCCTGCAGCTAGCAATTTCACAAACTCTTTAAAAAAAAAATAAATTTAAACCACAACTTATGAAAATTCCCAGAGGAAAAAAAAAAATGACACTGCACCCGAGTCCCAACAAAAGCAGGTCCCCACCACTTTGTTAACCGGAGAGCGGAGGAGGTCACCAAGCCCTGCACCCTCCTGCCCAAGGACCAGCACGAAGGAGGCCACCACGCTTTGGGGACTTCATGCAGGATGGGGAGCGGGGACAAGGGAAGGATAAAGGTGAGACATAAAGAGAGAGGAAAGGGATGCTTTCTCCCACCATCACATCCAAAAACCCTACTGCCCGGTGGTGCTGGGCGAGGGGTGCTGCTAACCTGGTTCCATCCTGAGCGCTGCAGTTGACGTCAGCCCCGTACTCGAGGAGATGCCGCACGATGCTCAGCCAGCCTTTGGCACAGGCCTCGTGCAGGGCACAGTAACCCGCGTTGTCACGATGATTCACATCACACACCTTGTTTTCCAAACAGTACAGAACCACTTCCTGGAAAGAGGAGGAAAAACAAGATACATCGAGTTATTTCTTGCTGCGGAGATGCACACGTTTCTCTTCTTGAAGGAAAAGCAGGGGTAAAAGGGCAAAACACAAAATCCCTACAATATGCCTAAGTTACCCTTTTTGAGATGGGTCAGTCAAAAGGAAAAGAAAAGGGGGAGGCGTTGAAACGCGTGTTTATTCAGAAGACACAGCAAAACCCACGACTTGCCATGAGCAGACCTTCCTGCAGCCCCCAAAGTCAGGAATCATCGCAGAGGGGGAATGTGCAAATTTTGCAGACAAAACTCACAGCTTTCCACTTCTCAAAACTTCCACGGATAAAGCTAGCAGGAAGGTTTTTACTCTTACATCTGCATTTTTTCAGTTGAAAATTCTGCAAGCACAACAGCAGCACAGCCGACGTCAGTTTGATTTTAAAAAGAAAAAGTGCGTGACCCGAAACAAAACACATTTAAGACACACAAAGGACAGTTTGCTATCGGCAAACAAAAAAAAAAAAGCCCGGCTCTATCAAGATCAGGGAAATCCCATTTTCACCCACCCTGGTTTTCTGCATGCAGAACTAAAGCCAAGCGCCAGGTTCCAATAACGAGCCCAGCGCCGTGGGAAGCCATGTGAATTTAACACAATTCATCTTGCAGTCAAATATACCACGGTCGAGAGCCCAGGCCAGACTCAGCTCTACGCTGTCGTGTGGCATTGAAACAATGACTGCTCCATCACTCAACCAAAAATTTAGGATGGTGCGAGTCTTCCTCAATTTGTGCCAGATGCAAACAAAAAAAAAACCAACAACCCACATTTCTAAGTGATGCTGTATGTATAAAATAGCCCTCACATTCCCAGATTAGTGGTGAGCCATTAATTTTGCATTTGCTCCTCTCGAAGGCTAAGCAACATCCTCGCAAAGCCAGATAACGGCACGGAGGGGGCGAGTGTTTGCTTTGCCAAAACAAGAGAATAAAACAATCGCCGGCTGCGATGCATTTATTCTTCCCGTTTCAAAATCTACCGGAAAGCCCGTGATAATCTGTGCTCTGGGTATACCTGACCCGAGAGCCGGTATCCAGGATACAGCATGAAGCTGCTCTTTTAGCAGGCCCTCACTAACGAGGCTAAAGCAGGGAAGCTAACGAGCTGCCCGTCCCAGGCACCAGAGCATCCCCCTCACCTGCCGCCAGGACGGAGCGGTCCGGTCCACCACCTCCACCTGCTGCACCCACCGGCTTTCACCTGGGATCCCCAGTCCCATCTCTCGCCAAACAAGGGCTGTTCACATTCCCGTTCATCAGCCCAAAGGCCAAAAATTGGTCCAGAATGGATGCTCTTTACCCTGCACTCACTCAAGCCCGTAAGAAAGGGCTGTGCAAAATTATACCCCGGAGGTATGAATTTTCCTTCGAAACCAGACCACCCCGCCAGGCAAATTAGCAGATGGATATAGGAAGCAGGAGCAGCTGCCGTATTCGGCTCCACTTTTAGCATGCAGTTACCATTTAAAACAGATTCTGCAACTCAAAATAAAAGACCTTTCATCTATTTTTGTAAAAAGGAAAGGCTCATCCTAGGGCGGAATACCTACCACTGGACGAAAAGGCTAATTCTGTCGGGCAATTCTGTGTTAAGAGGCTATAAGAAGAATGTCATTAACCACAAAATGTAACCATAAAGACCATAAAACTCTACATTGTTAATTAATTAAATGCCTCATTAACTTTTTTTAACATGATTTATTCAATTTACAAAAAAATTAGCCATCGCTGCCGAATACAGGAACATGTGGTGCCACAAACACACTTTTGGTTTCCTAAGCATCTCAGGCTAACGTTAGAGAAAGGCTGTGAAAGTGGCACAGGGCAATTTAATCTCTGTTCAGGTGCCCCATTTAAACCAGCAATCTGAAAATCACTCGCCGTTCATCCAAAGAGTCAAGCTAGCACGGCACCAGCCGAGATACGTGCCACCGCCGCTTCTGCTGCCTGCAGTTCGTTAGCCAAATTGCAAACAGCAACGTTAAAAGCTGCACGTAAATATGCACACAAATATCCAACCTCACCTACAAAGAGATGCCCTTGGCTTCAGTCTCTCCCACCCCTGCCCTGCAGCAGCCCCTGCCCCTTTTCCAAGGGAAGGGGTCAGCATCCCCCTGCGCATCCCCCATGCCCTGGGCAGCCTTGCTGCCACCAAGAAGCACTACTCCCTTCCACCCAACCTCAAATCCTGGCCCTTGGGCGGCAAGGCATTATAAGCTGAGCCGTACCGCTTCCCCGCAGCGCCGTGCCAAATCCCAGAAGTGATGCTCCTTCCCAGGCAGGGTGCGGGAGCGCTCAGGGAACTCTGCAGGGGCAGGATGATGCTCAGGAGCTCCTGCGGCAATGCCAGCGGGGACCCACGGCATCCCCAGGGCAAACCCTCTCCCCCTCCCGCCTGGATAAGCCCCCTCTTCATGACTGTTTAAACCCCCCTGAAACAAATACCATCTTTCCCCCATCCCTATCACACACGGCACAGTCCTCTAATTTCACTGCCTTCCCAGGCAGGATTTAATCCCAAATTCACCAGAGAACTTTCCAAGTCCAGACACACACCAAAAAGCAACAAGCTGCACAAAGACAGCCAGTGTTTCTTCTCCCATCAAATTCATTAAGCAAGCCTTTTGTGATTTTTTTCCCCAAAAGATTCCACGCTCCCTCTAATTCCCCCTTCACAAGAAGTAAATTACAGTTCTAAGACTACTAGTATCTCAAGTCATTTGTTTCAAACGGGGAAAACAGAATGGAACCGAGAGCACCCATATACCGGGATGGGTCCCTAACACCCTGACGAAGCAAGGTCTGGCACAGAATCCTAGCAAAGAAAAGCCAAAGCTGCCCACCAGCTTCGGTAGGGTTTTGCTCAGACCATACAGATTTCCAAAGCCAAAGAAAATTTGCCGCACTGTCTTTAAGTAGCCTTGCTGGCTGCAGCCCTGCAATTTACCAGACACAAGCCGCATTTGTCCTTCGACATTTCACTCTCACGTCAGCTTTTACACGCAAAACGGTAACCGCTCGTGTCCTCCTTTCCGCAACGATCTGGGGCACATCCATACCGTGTGATTGAGAGTGGGGCAGAGGCACCTGAGCTAGCAGCATCTGGGCTCCCCGCGGGTCCAGGAGTGATGGATACGGTTCGCCAGCACCTTTGCATGCCAAAGGTACCAGCGCTGCCTCTGGGTTCGGGGTGGGATCTCCGCAGAGCATCCCTGCTGCAAAGGCAGGCAGGCTCCCAAGGTCAGGCACGAAGCTGATCGGACCTCAGGGCAGAGCTGTGGGCGCTGCTCTCACACGCCTCCCCTGCCGCCCCCAGGGCCGGGCCGTGCCCTGCGGTGCCAGCCTCTTCCAGCTCCGAGTCCTGCATCAGCACTCAGCATCCCTTCGCAAGCTGATGCCCTGATGGAGCAAACCCATCTGCCTCCCTTGCCACCAAGCTGGCCAGGGGCCGCAGGGCTGCCCGTTGCCA